CATTTCCTCTGGTCCTGTCATTATTCTCTTGGGAGAAGAGGCCAACCTCCACCTCTCTACAACCTCCTTTCAGGGAGCTGTAGAGGGCAATGAGGTCTCCCCTCAGCCTCCTCTTCTCCAAACTAAGCATGCCCAGTTCCCTCAGCCTCTCCTTGTATGACTTGTTCTCTAGACCCCTCACCACCTTGGTGGCTCTCCTCTGGACACGCTCCAGCACTTCAATGTCCTTCCTGTAGTGAACGGCCCAAAACTGAACACAGTACTCAAGGTGAGGCCTCACCAGTGCCCAGTACAGTACATCCTCCCCCAGGGTATGCACTTGCAAAGTTATGGGTTCATTGTCTGTTCCTCAAGACCATTCACCAGCAAAGCAACTCATCATGAGGAATGACTAACCCAGGGTATGTCTGGAGCAGAGGACACAGTACTTCAGATTTCCAAGCAATTCTCTGCAATAGCAGAATTTCCATGAACCATTGTCCCCAAAGCCCACTGTCATTTCTGCTTCATTCTCCAGATGAAGAACATGCTCAGGCAGTTGAGAACCTGTGATTCTGCTGTTGAACTTACGTTGCCAGATGTATATCTAATTTTTTCAAAGTGCAACCTTAACAGACTACATCTGTGAGAGATTAGCACCTATAGAACAGCTAATTCGGACCAAATGAGCGTGTGATGAAGCTGATGTGAGTCAGAAGCAGAGACTCAAGGATGAACTGGACTGCAGATCTCTCCCAAGGCAAAAGCTGACTGTCTATTCAAAGCACAGGAGAACCTGCAGGCTCTGTTACAAGTTATCACATAGCTGCCCACTGGTAATAAATGGGAGTATGTACCTCCTTCTCTGGATAAGGACATGCAAACAGTAGCTCACACACTCATGGCCTGATTTCCTTTGAAACTACCTTTTTTTTGTATACCTTTTTGTGTGTGATATTTTTGCAGACAGGTAACAACCTTGTCAGCTTGACTGGACTATGAATATAACATAGGCTACAAAAACTGATGGTCTCTTCTGATGACTTTTAGCTCTATACTATGAAGAAAGACAAACTCAGTTGCTTGAGCAAGATTACAGTTATACTTGCCCAGCTGGAATTATTATGTAGGTACTGACTCGTTAGTCCCACATACACCCTATTCTGCGCAGGACTGAAATCATACAGGAGTGTGATTTTGAAGACTGGGCATGTATAGATGCACTAAGAACTAAGCATTGAACCATTTCCACAATTTTTCTCAAGGCTGCCTACTCAGAAGAGAGTACAAGACTGGTGATCCCTGCTTTCTTTTATAGATCATTTCACCCAGATTCAGATTCTAGCCGTCCCCTCTCACACTAATTCACCTTGATTAAGTATTAGCTAATCCAAGCAAGAAGAGAGACATTCCTCTCTGCCCCTAAAACACTGGCCACGGCTTCCTGCTTTAGAGCCACCCACAGCCCTGGAGCCAGCTGGAAGAGTTTCATGTATCCAGAGAGAAGTGGATGCTACTCCCATGGACGCCTTTCTCTTTAACGAGTTGTTCACAGAGTAGGAGGCAGAAGGCCCTTTCCTTCTTGCCAGGAAAATGCTCAGCCTCAGAGTGAAACCTTTTTTATAAGTAATCCTTATTTTCACCTAAATGTAAAAAAAAGTGCTAACGTCCTTGCTGTGCTACAGGATGCCCCCATGCCACTGGGCCCCCATCACTCCTGCCAGCTGTATCTCTGAAGGATTCTGCGATAGAGCAGCATGCCACAGCATACCTTACAGTTTTCCTTACTGGTTATTATTATCAGTGCACCATAGCTTCTAATCACAAAGAGAACGGTCACTGTGACAAACACATTTACACTTTCATTAGATAAAGCCAGTCCATCCCAATATGTCTAGAACTCACTGCAACCTACTTCACTAGGCAGGAAATTTAAAAACTGAAACTACCATCTAAGGAATTTTTCAGGAGGTGCTCTCAGCAGCAGTGCACCTGGACAGGAAAAGATACACAAATTAGAACAGCTTCTGTGTAGGTAACACATACACCTGACTACTCAGCAATTGATGGCTGACCTGTCAGTAGAGTAAGATACTTGGTAACCTGTGCCAGGGGTTTCAGGATACAACCTTTGTGCATTCACCTATGAAGAAGCCTACAAATCTGCATGCTAATTAAAATGTGCATGTTTTAAATATAGCCATGACTTTATACAAAGCTCAGACTGCAGGAGGACCATAGTCCTCAGCTGAGAAGTGTCATTTCTTTAGCTGAATCAGCCAAGATGACAAAAAGGTTCAAATTTAATCTAGGTGTATCTAGACAGAGGTATATTTATTTTATTTTTTGTGTTTATTAATTCCTTTATACACTTTTGTGTATTTCGGACCTATTTCTTAAACAAATACTTTGTTTGTATTTGCCTTAAACTGTTTTGGATTAAAGGCAATGCCCTTCGCTTAGAGACACAGCAGTCTGTAACAGGGACTGACCATCCCTACAGCACTAACCTCACTCCTGTACTTGTCCAAACCTACAGCACCCTGACTGTGTAACAGCTTCCAAAACAATATTCTACCAAACTCAAACTCTCAAACATCTTGGTATAATCAGGATTCTGATATGTTTTGTGATGCTGTGTAGTGTTTTATTTCAAACCCATTCCGGTGAAATCTCCAAGATACAAAAAAGCTCAGAGGAGTCTCAGTACATTTCTTAAAAATAACAGAACTTTAAAATCTTTCAAATAGAAAGGAAAAGAGAGTAGGGAAAGAAGGCAACAAGTACCCATTAAGACAGTGAAAGGAAAAGATTGTCTTAATGTCAAACCAATATCTACTCCTAAGCTTTAGCTGCACTCTTGTACGCTTATCCCATCGACACCAGCGGAAACTCAGATGGGCGATTACCCCAGGGCACTACCATTTTCCAGCAGAAATAGCTGTTGCATTTATTCAATCTTTTGGAAATAATCCATGGAGTTTGCAAAATTTTACAGTTTATTGCTAGCAAGGTCACGGTAACATGGGTTTTCTTTTGCAATCTGTGAGGAGAATCAGAAAGATGACATCTATCATACCGGGAGTATTGCAACACTGCCCGATAGAGCAGTCCCTGGAGCCAGCACTCGGAGCTGCTCACTGTGCCTTTATGGCGATGGGGCTGTACCTTGAGCTTCCAAACCATGGACTGGAGGATGCGAAAGCCATAGCGCTTCCAGTGGAACGACACAGGACATACAGACTTGGAACATTCCTCACCTCTGCAGTTTTTGACAGCCTCCCAAATTTAGGACTGAGAATGTCAGACTGACCCTGCGTTTGGCAAGAATAATAGAAGTCCTGGTTTTATCAAACTCTGCTTCCAGTCAGATCTCAATTCAATGTAAAAACAAAAATATCTGATTTTGTAATATTAATGTAATATTTGCATTTGTAAACAAGTAGAGAATTTAACTGTCCCTAATTTAATTTACTATGTTGGATTTGGAGAGTTGGTGAGGCTCATACATCATAAAAGGAAAAATAAAATTAAATTGGTGGTGTTTGTATATGCCAATATTTCTCATCTGTCAGAATACTGCAAATTAAATGAGAAAAATGAGAGTTCTGAGCATGTAATAAAGTTGTGTGTTCAGTTGTTTTTCTTGTGTCACTTTTACTGCAAATGCTAAAATGAAGTTGTTGACTCTGCTATTTAAATCAGAAAAAATATCGATGGCTTAATGCTATTGTGAACCTGGCAGTACATGGGATAAGACTAAATCTTTCAAAGTTTGTAATGGAGGGTTTAATCGATACTCCTAAAATCCACATTCTTTTTTTTCTCTCGTTTTCTGACCTCATTTCTGAGTCAGAGGCAGAGAGGGTGGAGTATAATAATTCTACCCAGGGCATTTGACCAGGCAAGAAGCCCAAGAAAAATGATTTTTCCATATACTAACATTAATAAGTAGTAGAATCCCAGAGTTATTTTGCAAGACTTCAGTTAGTATTTTGAACTTCACATTGTATAAATGAAATAGTTGTTCCTCAAGGCCCCTGCAATATCGCTTCTCTTTGGAAATTATATTAATTTGGGGGGGATTTGGCCACTCAGTGTACCATTTTCTTTCACATTTTCTTCATGGATATTCTTTGATTTCACAGTAATGTCACAAAACACTATCCAGTTTCTACATGGAGATCACCCAGGTGATGAGAACATGCACTTTTTGCAGTAAACTCAACCAAAATGCATGTGATTTGGTTAATATTGAGACAGATTTACCTTCTTAAGGTTCTTGGGGGTTTGTTCCTCTCCATACTCTACATGGTACAACCTCCATATTAGTGTCCTTCCATGGAGAAAGACCAGTACATAATGTTCCCCTTGAATTCACAACTCACCTGCATCCAGCTGTAACATTTTGTAGCAAAACAGTTCTGATAGCCAATATAATCGAACAGTGAAAAAAAGTCCTGTATCTGTTTTTTTTTGGACTACATTTAACTATTTCTGTTACCCTACACTCAGGCTAAATAGCTTATTCCGTAAAAAATCCTACCTCTGTTTCCTGCCTCTAGAAATCAACTCTGCATTGACTCCTGAGATCTCAAATCTGCCAAGAGGGGCTACAGCAAACACCGATGCTCCAACACACAAACTCCTGGTGAGTGTCACCTGCTGAGCACTGTGCCCTGCATCCCACGGACAACCCTCTCAGGAGTGCAGCCTCACCCAACTGGTCAGCAGCTTCTCCAGCCCACTCCCACCTGCGCTCGGGCTCAGGTGTAGCACCAATACAACGACGCTCGTACAGGCTGTACCGGGAGCTGAGGCACACTCCCATCAGAAAAGAAATACTGCAAGATGGCAACAAGTACCAATTTGCAATGGTTTTTACATTTTATGCTGCAGATAAATCATCCTATCAGGCCTTTCCAATGTAAATGTGACCCAGTGTATTGTACCAGACATTACTGCACATTTTTTCAAATTTCAAATGAAAAACATGAAGAAAATAAAACTGTATTTCTTACTTTCGACGGAACATTTCTGCAAATATGCAGCCCACGCTCCAAAGATCGACTGGTGTTGCATAGCTGGACTGAAGCAGAACTTCAGGAGCTCTATACCACAGAGTAACAACCTGTAAAACAAAAGGGAACATAAGAGACAGCACTGTTACTGACACAGTTACAACCTCCTAAGTGTTGCCTATACAGCTCCCATTTAATATAATCCAAACTGTAAAATCTCACAGATTAGGGCAAACTGGTTTGGCCAGTGCATAGAAGAGGGTCCTTGGTGGAAGGTGTTGGTGTGGAGAGCTGCAGTGGTGATGAGGAAGGAACAGTGCGGTCCAGGGTACAACAGAAACACAGTGTCAGCGTAGAGCATCGGTGTGGTACCACAGTAGTCATAGCACAACACCACAACAACTGCTTTTGCAATTCCAGACCCCAAACCTCTTCAGGGGACATGTCAACTCTCCATAGAGCAAACATTACTCTATTCAACAAGGCCTGCTTTTCTTAAACAGCTTGTGTGGACCCCTCCAGTGTAGTCACCAGAGCCAAAATGGAAAGGAATAAGTGAGGGAATACTGTCCGTTTTACCCATAGGACAAACCAGCCCCTCTGTCCTGAGTCCTTAAGAGCTTATGTATTATTTTCTGTGAAAGAAATGGGGTTAGCTCAAGTGTATGGGCCAACCTGGGTGAATGTCTGAGCTGTCTCAAAGTTCTCTCTTCATGTTGAACTGAAGAAATTATAACTTATTTTTTTTTCAGTTGGATACAGATTAAGTCAAACCCTTCCCAAAGCCGTCCCTCCCCAAAGGCTGTCCCCTGTGGTTTCCTCGCACACAGAGGTACCATCAACTGTTGATTTTCACTGAAGCAGCACAGCACAGGGATGCCCGTCAGAATCCTGGCCTTTAGAGCTGTGTGACCGTCTCTGCTCATGTTGGTTGGACCAGCATTAACTTCTCTCACAATTTATTTCTAAATGATGCACTCTTTCCCAGGGACGTGTCCCATAAAGCATCTGCTTTTAGGCTGTTCTTGTCCTGGTGGTCATGTCACAACATGTTGTAGGGACCCAGTGGGAATTTTACTGGCACTGCTCCATCGGTGTACTTCGATGAGTCCAGCACATCAGACCCACAACAGAGATGGGACAGTTTATATTTATCCTTTTGTTTCCCACAAGTAGACTAAATACAGATGAGGCTGACTATATCTTCAGTATATTTACAGAAAAACACAAGGAGCTTCTCCAGAGCCCCATGCGAGCTATTGCATTGGTAGAATATCATCTCAGAGCCACATGAGTGTCCCACTCCTGAATGCAGTTATAATCCAGCCGTAACAACACACCATCATCAGCTACACACCAATATTGTCTCAGTGTGTGCTATAATTTAAACCTCTGACTATTAATCTGGGGACAGGGAGGGTCTCAACAATTATTGGTTTGTTTCTCCAACAAACACAAAGGTGGGAGATGCAGCATTCAGGAGAGCATGGAACAAAGCAAAACACTGAAAAGAAACGAGTGCAAAGATAAGAATGAAAATACTTCTTTTTAAATTATATTAACTAGGATAGTGAGTTCTGAATTTCAAGACCTGTACAAAGAAATGTGTAAGAAGAGTGGGTTTTTTAATGATAACAATATAATTGTCTTCTAAGCAAAAACAACAATGGAAGTAATCGGCCGAATTTGCTGGTCAAAGCCAGCTGAAACAAAAGCAAATACAACATTTATTACAATCATTACATGCCCTGACAGCCTTTGGAACTACTGAATGGCTATTGAAAGGAAGTTCACGGATATTTGCACAAGTGGTCATATTTGCTAACAGTCCTCTTAAACACTTTGATCTCTATTCATAAAATTTGTCTTTGAAACAGTTCAATAACACAGTGCAAAGTACTGCACTGGCAAGCTAGACTTCCAGATACCTGCCCCCAGAAACACATTCCTATGTGGAAGCTGGGCATTATTTAACTACATCTGTCTTGTTCCTGATTTGCTACCTTACGGCGGTATTTCCAAAATATATCTCTCTATAAAAACCAGAGAACTTTCTTCAGAGATTGGCTCCAGGGAAAGAAGACAAAGGTCCGGGATTTTTACTGGAGCTGCCCTGTCTCAATCGGATGGAATATCTCCTAAAACAGACACTTTTTTCCTGATGCAGATATACTTCTCAAACTGACCTGCACTTTTATTCTCCCAGGACATTTGTGGAAGAGCTTATTGAAGAAACATTGCTTTGAGAAATTAGATATACCAATTCCAATGCATTGTTGTTTGTCAGTGGCTGGGTGGTCTCTGATCTGAGGGAATCCCCCCAAACCTTACAACTCCTGCTCTGGGATCCACACAGCTCTTCTCCCACCGGGGGAACAGTGCCTCATTGTCCCCAGTCCCATCAGCCCCACCACACCATGGCCCTGCACTCCCACAGGCCAAGGACTGGTGGATGCACGGCTGGGAGACAGCCTGAACGCTTCTGGCAATGTATGCCCCAAACTGATGTCCCTTTTCCAGGGACAGGGGGCACAGGACAGCTGCCCCCTTCCCGAGGGGAGCGTGGCAGCTCTGGCCGGTGCCGGGTGCTGGAGCGAAGGCTGTGGAAGCGTGTGACACCTCAGCTGCTGTCCCACGTCACCACATCCTGGCACAGCTCCACAGGCATCTGCACCCTGCTACGCTCCATGCACCCGTACACGGGGACAGGGAGATTCTACTTCTGAGTAATCTGGAAACTTAAACATTTAAAGCACGTTATTTCCAAAGTCTTACAGCTAAGTTCCAGCAAATGCCGGATTGCTTTATAGTCAGAGAGGAAGTAATCTGTTGAGCTCTTTTGATATACACTGTCATTACTGTGTAATTACAAAAGTGACCAAGTAACCTTGTGCTTTGTAATATGCAAGGTCGTGTTTCAAAATGTGAGTCTGAAAGGGATCAAAATGTACTAAATGTCAGTTTGCACACAAGTAATGCCACAGATGACTCCTCCAGCAGTCAGGGTCGTCTCCTGAAAAGCACAGGATGATGCAGATGATGCAGTGGTTTTGACACAGAGTTTCACACTCTCTTTCTCTTACCATAGAAACCAAGAAAATATTTGTGGACATTCCATTCACATTTGCAGATAAGTAGAAATGAAAATTATTCTGAACACAGGATATGGTGAGGCCAAACAACTAGATCATCGCTTCCTCTTTAGCGGGGTTCTGACTTAGAATGCAAAAATGCTTTGCTTAGGTAAGCCACACAGCAGTGAGACAGGCTCTCCCTGAGAGAAAGAGCACTTGAACAAGAGCTGCTTCATAAAGTCCCATCTTTAGGATGGAAAAAGCAAGCACCTGCACCAGTACATTTCACTTAAACTTTGCCTGTCCTAAAAATTTGCCACACATGTAGTGTGGCACATGGTGACTGTGCTGCAGGAGAAGGGGTTTGCGCTCATGTGCTGACAGAGATCCTAAATTCAGCACAAGACTCCTAAATCCTTTGGAGCTTGTAGGCTTTACTGGCCGTGTTTCATTTGACTCCTCCTGTCAAATAAACTTCCCTCCTTTGCCTCCTTCTTGCTTCCCCTCACCCTGCCCAGCCTCTCTAGCTCCTCTCTCACACTGGCCCGCTGGACCCGACCTTCTGTCTCCTCTCCCCTGCCCCTGCCTTTCTGCCACACGCCAACAGCCCCCCAACACCATCACCAAATGTGCCTGACCCCCTGCTGCACGGACTGCTGATGATCTCAGAGACCCCTCCCAACGATGGTGATTCTGTGATTCTGTGTGCTCTGCCTCCCCTCACGTCCCCCATCTGCTCCCTTCCACCCCCAAACTCTCCTGGGTTTCACACCCTGTCCCCTCCTCTTCCAAGTGCCTCCAAATGTACCAGGGCACTCCTTTTTTCCCTTTAGCTTCTGAGCCCACTCTGCCTGTCCTGAGGACACCCTATGACATCTGTATTTAATAGATTAAGTTACATACAAAACCATCTAGAATAATTCATACACTGGAAGGAGTACGCACCTAAAGGAGTAACAATGCTCCTTCTCCAGAGCACATTTTATGTTTCCACTGCCCAGATCAGATGGGATGATATCAGATAAAGATGGTATCAGTAGCTGCAGATCACTGCTTCTGACAGTTCAAATGTCAATAGATTTAGGCAGCACTTCAGGAGAAAATAAATGTGTATCTGAGTGGCATCAGAAAGGAAAAGAAAATCTGCAAGCCTACCAAGGCTGTGTCTGACTCCCTGAAGAAGGAAACGTGCTCAGTAAGAAGCAAGGGGAGAGCTGCATTTAGAATCAGAAGAAGAAAGACAATGTTCTTTTGAAATAAAGCTTTCTGCCTTATTACACCTGACAGATGTTGCCATCTGAGACAATCTAGCCCCAGGAGTTTCAATACTGCTCTTCATGGTACCTGTTTCTGATGAAAAATCAAATAAGTGGTAAGTACCTGCTCACTAGCAATGTGAACACAAGATCTATGCACTGCGTCAATCTCATTTAATTTCCATTTACTTTACAGAGCAGATTTTCACTTTTGCATAACTGCTTAATTTAAATGGATCTGCACAGCCCTTTCCAAATATAGCTGCTGTCTGAATAGCATACAGTTCAAAAAGGACAAACAGAGGTTTAGTGGGTAACAGAGACACAAAGGGCTACATGTGGGTTTGCCACAGACTTTAAGTACAGACCAGTGCCCGGTTGCACAGCTCCAGGAACAAAGCGGTGACCAGACTGTAACACAGCAGCTATGTCTGTGCGAGGAAATTAAACGGGACAGGAAACGTTCCTCTGGCACTGAGACCAAGAGCACAGAGCGGGCTGTGTCCTTATCATCAACTTCTCAGCCTCCCAAACAAGGTGACCGCATGCAAACTGCTCATTGGGAATGGCCTTTGGTCCATGCCCAACTGTGCCTAGGAACTGTCTGGGGAGGAGCTGGTTGGCAGATCTCAAAACCATGCCAGGAACCATTTTAATAATTTAACAGCAGAGACAATTGGGCTCCGGTACCCACGAATGTTTCCTGGCATTCTTTAACCCGCCAGCCAGTGAGTCACGCTGTGGTCCCAGCTCTCCCTCCAGAGAGAAGGCATTTTGCTG